TCTGTCTGTCTGTCTGGTGTCTGTATCCATTTTCATTAGATACGTAATCTTCAAAACTGCTGGAATGATTGTTGTCAAATTTTGTATGTATATTAGAAATATCATGTAGATGTTTAAACCCTAACCAAATTTTTGCTAATCATCCCCACCTACCATTTGATGATGTCATTTCAATGAATTGTATTTTAAAACGATTCGAATTGGTAATGCGCTGTGAGTACCTTTGTTTTGTGCTATGTAACTTTTGTCTGCTTTGCGCACCAGCCACGTGACCTCACATTCTCTTGAAAACCATGCTTTAAACGCCTTTCTGACGACTTCGAAAGCTGTCAAAATGTCAATTTATCAGTGTTATGGATGTAACTTATCTTCGAATGTGCTATTTTTTGTTTGGTATCGTTCGTTGATAATGATAATACGAACATATAACAAGCGGTCATGACAGCCACGTAACTTCACACAAAATGCGTAACATCATACCATGTTTTCTTGTACCATCGTATTATCCATGTCGATGATGTCATCACAAATCTTTTACTGTTGAAACTAAGAACGAGTCACACCATTTTCTCGAAAATGTGAGAATACCCACGTCATTATATAATAACTAGCTTTTCGCTCGCGTAGACGATTGGTTGTATTGAAGAGCATTATTATTTTAGACTCTTCTCTCTCTTTTGTCTTCTTCTTCTTGAAGTGCCTATCCTCTGTGGATGTCGGCTATCACATTTGCCCACATTACTCTATTTACCGCCGCTCTAAATAGTGCCATTGAGGTCAATCCGGTCCATGATCTTAAATTTCGCAGCCACGATATTCTTCTGCGTCCTGCTGTTCTATAACCTTCTATTTTGCCTTGCATTATTAGCTGTAAGACGCGGTATTTTTCCCCTCTCATTATGTGACCGAAGTATTCCAATTTCCTGTATTTAATAGTTGTTAGGAAGTTCAGTTTTTCATGAATTCTCTGCAAAATGGTTTCGTTTGACACGTGATGGGTCCAGGATACTCTTAGCATGCGGCGGTAGCACCACATCTCAAACGCGTCTACACGTTTGCACGATGCATCAGTGAGCGTCCATGCTTCCGCTCCATATAGGAGAGTTGGTAGTATATAGCTGTTTAGTATCCTAATTCTGGTTTTTATGTTAAGTTGTAGGTTGCATAATACATTGCGCATTTTGTTGAATGTGGCTCTTGCTGTTTCTATTCGATGTTTTATTTCTCGTGAGTGGTCCCAGTCTTCATTCAGAGTGCATCCCATGTATGTTACAGAGTCGACTATCTTGAGAACTGTGTTGTTAGCGGTAATTTGTGGATTATGGGTATTATTTTTACTGATGATTAGTATATGCGTTTTTTTGGTGTTCAATTTCATCTCGTATATGTTACATGCATTAACTACACGGTCTATGAGTCTTTGAAGTCCTTCGGCGCTGTCAGCTAAGCGGACGGTGTCGTCCGCGTATCTGAGATTGTTTACTATTTCCCCGTTTATTATAAGACCATCATCTGTGTTTTCCAATGCTTCTCTGAAAAGTTGTTCTGAGTACACATTAAACAAGAGAGGCGATAATATGCATCCCTGCCGTACTCCTCTTCTCTCTTTTGTACCACATGTTAATTCGGTTTGTAGCAGCGCCCTAAAGTCGTTAGGTTTTATTAAAAGAAATACGTCCAGCTTCCAAAACTTAGAGTGTTTAATGACTCTTTATAACGCATTCGTACGAACAAAACTAGAGTACTGTTCCACTATCTGGACGCCATTCTATAATGTTCATATTGCTGAAATAGAGAATGTTCAACGTAAATTCTGCAAGTATCTATATTTTAAGAAATATCATGCTTACCCTGTGCAAGGCTACCCTCAGGACCGTCTGTTGGTAGAATTCAATATGCATTCATTAGAATTAAGACGCAATTTTTCAGCACTTATAAGGTATTTCTTTACAAAATTGTAAATGGCTTAATAAATTCGCCTTCAATGTTGAAATATATTAACTTAAATGTACCGCGAATGAATTTACGAGAATTAGAAACATTTTCTTGTGAAATACCTAAAACTAACCAACACATGTACTCGCCGCTTTTTAATATGTTTACCATTTATAATCGTACTAGTAAGAAACATAAAGACCTGGACATTTTCACTCAGAATATGGATGCATTTATAAAAAATTGCAAACAGCACATCTTATGTATACCTTAGTTATAAGTGTAATTGTATATGTGTCATTTCATGTAAGTTTGATTTTTTAAATTATTTAAATCTCTTATTGAATATTCAGTATTTAAATTTTTGTATCTTTTCTTTTATACATTGTTGTAAAATTTCTATCCTCTTCTGGACCCACTGGTCTGCTGGATAAATAAATTATTATTATCATTATTATTATTAATATTATTATTAATGATATTATTATCAACCCTCAAGTAAAAAATATGTTGAAGGGCATTAATACAATTTCCAGTAAATAATAAATCGACATAAAAATAATTTTGTTCATAAAAACTTTGTCACCCCCGTTCATCTTGGAAAGGAATCTCGAAACAATCTGAAATACGTGTTTCATTATTTGTGTTGAAGAATATTCATATCAAGTTCCGCGTAAAAATTTAAATTTACGTTAGAAATATTTTTCTCATACAAATTTAGGCTCCACTTTTCACCCCTTTAGCGGTTAAATCTCGGAAATGCTTTAATACGTGTTTCATTATTTGTATTGGAGAGCATTAATTTAATATCAAGTTTCACGTAAAAATTTAAATTTACAATAGAAATACTTCCCATACAAACTTAAGCAGTACTTTTCACCCCCTTAGGGGTTAAATTTCGGAAAATGCTTAAATACTTGTTTCATTATGCATTAATACTAAATTCCAGCCAAAAATTTACAATAAAAATAATTTTCCCATCTAAAGTTAGCCACCACTTTTCACCACCTTAGGGGTTTAATCTCGGAAATGCTCAAATACGTGTTTCATTATTTGTGTTGAAGAGCATCAATACCAAGTTTCACGTAAAAATGTAAATATACAATAAAAATATTTTCCCATACAAACTTAGCCTCCACATTTCACCCCCTTAGGGGTTGAATTTTAGAAAATGTTTAAATACAGGTTTCATTATTTGCGTTGAGGAACATTAATACCAAGTTTCACGTAAAAATTTCAATTTATAGTAGAAATATTGTTCCTATACAAACTTAGCCGCCCAAATTTAGATACCACTTTTCACCCCCTTTGGGGTCGAATCTCCAAACATGCTTAAATACGTGTTTCGTTATTTGTGTTGAAGGGCACTAATACCAGGTTTTAAATAAACATTACCATAAAAATATTTTTGCCAATACACACCCCTTTTCGCCCCCTTAGGTGTTGAATATCGGAAAATGCTTAAATATGTGTTTCATTGTTTGTACTGAAGAGAATTAATACCAGGCTTCACTTAACAATGTAAATTTACAGTAAGCATATTGGTCCTATACAGATTTTATCACCCCTTCTCTAGGGGATGAATTTCGAGAAATCCCTTCTTAAACAATGCCTCCAGTATAAGATGAACATTCTTTCCAAATTTCAACTTTCTAGCATTAGCGGTTTGAGCTGGGCGTTGATAGGTCAGTCAGGACATTGCCTTTTATATATAAAAATATAGATTTTTTCAAGATTCCACCCCTAAGAAGATGAAAGGGGGTGACAAAGTTTGTATGAAGAAAAATATTTTTATGGCGATTTTTACTTGAAATTTTGTATTAATGCTCTTCAACACATTTTTTACTTGAAACTTAGCAATAATGCTCTTCAACACAACGAATCGTCTACGCGAGCGAAAAGCTAGTATACATATAAAATTGGACAACAATCGGTTCGGTAGTTTCGGAGATTACGTGTCTATTAAAAATGGATACAGACACCAGACATACAGACAGACGAAAACGGGAGACTACTTTTTTCGAACTCTAGAGGTTATGAAATATGGAGAAAACATAAAAGTGTCCTGTGGTCCAATGGACTGGATTACTATTCTTCGTTATCTTATGCTTGGGAAGTAAAAACTTAATTTACTTCCGGTGAAGTGCAAACTCCCCAGTTACATTTTATTTTGTAGATTGTCCATTATGCCCATTATGCGATTCATAAATAGTCAGGTGGAACAACGTTCGAGCGTTTAAATCTCCAATATTCGAACTATAGTTACATTGAAAACTACATTGAAGATTTTAGTTTTGTGCTTAAATCGTGGAAATGAACGGTAGTGTTCGTTTCTCGTTTGATAATTATTTGGTTAAATTTGGTATCTTATAGTTAACGTGATAGAAAAAGTTTAATCATGCATTTATAACCTCACGAAGCGTGCTTGTGATTTTCAGCTCGTGCGTAGATACTTTTTACAATTCTAGTTATAATAAATAAAGCAATATGGAAAGAAACTTTATGAAAATAAACCAGTTTTTTTGTCACATTGTTGACCGAATTGGATGTTGTCAGAAATAATTTGCTGCACTTTTTCATCTGAAAACTATACTTTGATCCCACCCGATAGTGATTCTATTTAAAAACTCGTGATGTCATCTCAAGACTTTATACCGACCATTTAAAAATCGTTTTTGACTCTAAATTAGGACCCGCAAAGAGCATCTTAAATTAAATTATTGTATTATTGCCTTGCCCTTCATGGTTAATGTAGTTAATAAAGTTTGGCACTTTATTTGAAATAGATTCTGAATCAGTAAATTTTTATGGATTCAAAACTAATATGCGTTAAACTATACCGATCTATAAGGTACCTTAATTAGCGATTTGTTGCCATCGTATGTATTTATATTATAATACTTTATTTACAATACAATAGTTCCCGCGCTGTCCGATTCATCTCGCAATATATTAAGATTATATAAATTAATTATGTGTTATGTATTTACAACATTAATAAGTTTGTTCCTGCGTAACTTTAGCGTGAAGTAAAGCCCTAAACTTGAACCGTTTTGTTTTTACAGGTCGGCAGCTTGAAGGGTTTCTACTTGTTCGAACACAAGCACGTGCATAAACGTTCCCTGCAGGCCAACGACTTCTACCACCAGTCGCTGATATCCGAGCCCCAGGTTAGTGATGTTTCTGAGCAAGCTAATTTACTTTCATAGAGCTTCCCGTCGACGTCTACACAAATTTCAATACCAATCTTGTTTGTACAGATTATGTTAAGCGTCTAAATGTTTTTAAAATGAGCCAAGGTAGGGAAAGTTTCCAAACTAAGCTTTAACGTATAAGAAAGTCATCGGCTCATCATTTAAAAGATTATTTTTTTCTGACTTGGAACAATTTACCGTTTGAACAATCTTTTATGCATAATAGAACATGTTTCCTAAAACAATTTTTCCATGTGTTCCTAAATCCTTAATACCAATTATGTTTTAACGTGCAAGTGGTAGTTGTGTTCTTCAGAGGCGAGAGAAACGCTAGGAACATCTCTTTACAGACATTTTAGCGAGTATAACACGGTCGACAAAAGTCGTCCTCTTGTTGTAGACGATCAAGTTGCTTTTCCATCATGCACTACTGACGACAATACGAAAGGACAATTTGTGTTCATCACATACTGTTTTGCAAACAGTTCCATACTATGTATTGCAGCCAAAAATTTTTCTGTAGACGTGATTAATGCTTGAATTTCACATTTCACATTTAGTCGACAAAAACGCACTTATTCATATCGTAAGACTATCTCTGGCCAGATAGCGGCTTTAGTGCAAATTATCAACAAATATTCACCATCAATGACGGTCAAACCGGTACAACCAATTGCAATCTACAGAATCACTCACCCCTACATGTGACACTCTAGTAAGTCAGTTATTTTGCTTATTTAAGTGTAATATAGTGTGCAACACATTTGAAATTGACTCTTTTCACACTTCTTTGACTTTCAATAATAAACGGCAAACTTGTGTGAAAAAGGTCATTAATAAACTTGTAGCACAACATACTTTTTCCACAATAAATCAAACAAATTGACATTCAGTTTTTCTGAAAAGTAATATTGCTTGCATACTTTTAATGCATTGATGTGTTTTTTTAAATCTGAACATATAGATTAAGACCATACTTACTTTCATATGCTTAGAGTTAAAAAAATGTCCAGGTATATGCAGCTTGACTGACAAAAAACCTTTGACGTTGTATGTTGCTTAGTTTTTATCAGATTCGAACGAAAGATAGATCAAATGAAATCGTTTCAAAAATAATTCATTCTGTTGTGTACTTAGCAAACAAATATGACGTTAAGGTTTTCACAAATAGTAGGCAGCTTTGTCTTCTTTTTAAATTGCACAGTATATTTTTTTGTTTATTTTTGTAGAGATTTGTTTTTAAAATATGAATGCGTAGGGAAAGTAAAAAAAATTAGTCAAAAAAAAAGATTAAGGGAGGAAAAGAAAACATCATTCTACCGAAGTTGTTCAAAATTGCCACTATGTTGCCCAGACATTGTTGACACCTAGAAACTTCATCGTTGCGTTCAATACAATATTTTGCGGTATGTCGTGACAGATTTCCACACTCAATCATTTTTTTGTCTCATTTTCGATAGTTTTAGTTTAGTTATTTAAATTGTCGATTATTTTTCAACGCATGACAATAATCGCTACATTTTTCATTTTCAGAAAATAAAATTATAAAATCGAATAAAAAAATATATACAGTTATTCAACTAAGATGACCGATTTGTGTTTTTAAAATAGGCAACCCAAAATACCGATTACACCTGAACCTGGATTACAAAAAATCTTTCAAAATTAAATTGTATCAAAGTTTGATAAATGTATAGAAACGTCAGTCAACGTCAGTGTCAGAAAAACGCCTATGCATTCGTTAACGAGAAAACCGACATGATCCTTAGTTATGGACACGTTATGGAGATTGTTGACTGCCATCTGTCGAAGACAGTTCTCAAAAAAATTAAATTAATTTTATTTTTAGTGATATATCGTTTATGCAAATCGAGTAAAAAATAAGTAATATATGGCGTCAAATATATTGTATATACGAGGCACATCCAGAGTGTAGCGCCCGATAGCAAACAAAAGACGCTCATGTTGAAAAAATGGGATCCCTCAAAGTGAATTATTTAAAGGCTCATGGTAGCTTCCTGTATCCGAAATTTTATCAATTTCATTATAATAGTTTTCGGAGTGATGTTTTCTAACAGGTTACAAGAATAAATATTGCGAAATTTATCGCCAAATCACTGAAGTAAATCAGAACTAGTTAATTAATGAATCCCCTGTAAGGATAAAGAGATGATGTGGAATGTTTAAAAATGGAAGAATTTCGGACCCGGAGAGTCATGATTGTGCATGACAATGCTTAGCCACACGTCGTTGGAAAAACCAGAAAATTACTGGAAAGATTTAAGTGGGAAATTATGAATCACCCAGCATCCAGATCTTGCTTGACAGTCAGTGATTTTCACTTGTTTATTGATTTGAAAAATGCTTTATGTGAAAAACGATTTGAAGCTAGTGAAGAGGTAAAATTGACTAGGAATAAATGGCATTGCGTGAACAGGCGGGAAAATTTTATGCAGCGGGTATACAAAACTCATCTTACGCCAGGAAAAATGTTTAGCAATAGGTCGAGACTGTGGAAAAATAAGTCAATGTGTGTAATGTATAATAGTAATTATATACCAAGGGAGATAAGACACTTTTCTGACCCGAGCTGAATTATTTTCCGAGATCAGAAGGATGGAGGGAAATTAGAAAGCGAGGGCTCGAAAAATCTTCTCTCCCGTGGTTTATAGATTTACTTTTTCCATTACTAGGATATTTACGTCCACATATACCTTTATTTTATAATGATAAAAAGTTTAAAGCAAATTATTATCGCTGATTTCAAATATCCGTAAAGAGATCAAATAGGCTTGAGCCTGTCATTTCAAAACATATGAACAAATAAGTGGAGTTTGTACTCCTCCCGAAATGAGGAAAGAGGCAGCAAATGTTGCAAATAATCTGCTGCTCAAAAAATCTAAAGATTTTTAAATGAAAGTTTATTCTGCGTTTAAGGACTGGTGTCAATCGAAGGGTGTATATCAAGTGAGTGAAAGTATATTGTTGGTGTATTTTGAAGAGAAAGGCTGAAGGTAGAAAAGTTTCAAGTTTGCGGGCTACCTTCTCTATGTTAAAACAAACTTTAAAATTGCGGGAGAACATAAACATTTCAAAATATTATAAGGTAGTTGCATTTTAAGACGGAAAGGTGATACTTATTCTGCATAGAAGGCAGCAGTTTTGAACAAGAACACGTTACAAAATTTATCAGTGAAGCACCGGATTAAATCTTTCTTTCCACAAAGGTAAATCATTAATTCCACAATAAACCTTCAAACATTACAAGCAAGTGCTTGTTTTAGGCCGTTTTTGTAATAGGTCATGCAATAGCCTGCAGGACGGATGAACTATGTAATATAAAAGTGGTAGATGTTGTGTTCGGAAGGATGTGATCATGATAAACATACCACACACAAAGAATAACTCTAAAAAAAAATTTGTTATTGTACAACCTTTGTGGAGTGATGTCAAAAAATACCTCTCTCAAAGACCTTTTCCAGATATGCAAAAACTTTTCATATCATATAAGCGTGAAAAGCCAACAAGGCAAAACATGGGACACAACACCATCAGCAGGGTACCTGCTAAGATTGCCACTTACTTAAAATTAAATAAAAAATCCAAATGAGTTTACTGGGCATACTCTGAGGCATATGTCCGCCACAATTTTCGCTAATAATGGCGGAGATATCTTGACTCTTAAAAGTCACGGTGGATGGAAGTCTTCCACTGTGGCAGAGGGTTATTTGGAACACTATCTTGGTCAAAAAGCACGTATTGCTAAAATGGTTCAAGGGACATCTATTGCTCCTGCACTACCCAGTACAAGCACTGCAATTTTTGATACACTGCCTTCTACTTCCATAACAAACACGGAAGTAAATATACCGGTGCAAAACATTAATAAGTAATTGATTTATGAATTTTTTCATTTGCAATTTCTAAATAAAAATTTCCAACCTAAAACCACTAAAACAGTTATTTGTCCGCACTACTATCAAAATTATCATATTTATGAATTATGATTTACTTAATATGTAATTAACTATACATAAATACAGCTTACGGCGTTACATAGGTAACCCAAAATACGATATTCATTATCTACCAATAGGAGAGAAATTTAATTTCACAGTTCGGAAGCAGACCACATAATGACACGTTCTCAAGCTAGTATTGAAAAATAGTATATTATTAGCCAAGGTTGCAAAGCCAAGCATTCTAGACCGAGCGCAAATTAGAACCCGAGACGCGCAGCGTCGAGGGCTCTGAAGCGCGAGGTCTAGAAGTGGTTTTGCAACCGTGGTTAATATACTATTTTTTTCACTAGTAGATACCATAAGACAATAAATTGAAAAAATAAACGTTCAATTTTTTGACGCAACATGATTTTGGTTTGATTTCTAATCAAACTTGATCCAAATCTTCAACACAAAGAAAACCGTTTATACTTGTCGCTGAGTTAATCATTTTATCCTCCACCGGCTACCAACTACCATGCGTATACTCAAGTAATGTTAGTAGCACAAATTTATTCATTTAAGAAATAATCCCATCAAGTATTGCGTACATAACCTTAATCTTCTTTTTGAACCCGTGATCGCAAAAGTTGAATTTGCTACCTCTAAATGAGTCGAGATTTGCATGCTTCATGACTGCTAGTGAAAAAAATAAATAATTGTTGTTAATTGAATAATTTATGTTTGTATTAAAGCAAAGCAAACTCCATTGACTTGAAATTCTGTAAACGCCATTGTTTTTAGCTTGAAGGGTAAACCTTAATTGAGTACATTGCAAATATGACGCACATATATGGTGTCGGCGTTGCGATGCAAATCTTCTATATACTTACATACACATATATTAATATTGTGTTATACATATAGGCTGATTTAGCTGAAGTGACCTCCGGATTGAAAATTTAATATCAATAATATCATCTATCTAAGCACGCATTGCTGTGTCACTGTCAATTTGCCTAGCGAGGTATTCCT